ACATTTTATGGGTGTATCTCTGGATGTAAGCAATGAATCGAGCTTATGTAAAGTAACAAATCGCACATGTCTATTATGAAGAAATAATTCGTGAACTTGAAGGATACAGAAGTACAAAATTTCACTTAAGATGCTGTCAATAAAACAGATTACCGGAAATCCACCAGGAGAGCAAAGAGTAGCACAGTACCAGTAGCATATAAACAAAAAATAAACTTTACTAATAATAGTTATAGTATGTCCATATTTACCCCTTTGTAAATCATCATTCGAAAAAATTATTCATTAAGAATACCAAGGTTCTAATAAACAGGTAAATACTTGCATTCAGCTACAGTAGAAGACATTTCTAGGAGGCACTGCATTAGAAGAGACAATGAGAACGTTACTGAATAAATGCTTATAGGAAGGACAAATACCAAAAGCATGGAAAAATGCGGAAGTGATTCTACTCCATAAAAAAAGGTACGCCGCAAATATAGAAAACAATAAGCTTCTTGTCCCACCTTTACAAACTACTAACCCGAATAATAACAAATAGATTGACAGATAAACTAGATGCATACCAACCAGTGGAGCAAGCAGGCTTTCGTAAGGGTTTTAGCACTATCGATCAATTGCAAACAATTCGAACGGTTAGTGAAAAAACAATAGAGTACAACATACCATTACATCTGGCATTTGTCGATTACCACAAAGCATTCGACAGTATCGAGAAATGGGCTTTCTTAACAGCATTGGACGACGCCAGAGTAGATTCAAGATATGCTGCCCTCCTTAAGAATATATACGATGATGCTACTTTTCACGTAAAAATAGGTGATGATCTGAATAATATGAAATTAGACCTTGGTAAAGGTGTGAGACTGGGCGACACCATGTCACCTACTTTAGTTACTTTGGCATTAGAAAAATTAGGACATGCAATTAAAAACGAAAAGGAAAATCAAACCCTAGAAATTAAAAGTTGAGCATCATTTTAAAAGACAGAAAAATCCCAATACACTTAAAACGAAAAACCTATGACACTTGTATACTACCAGTTGCAACTTATGGATTGGAAACTATGGCAATAACACAAAATTCCTAACACCGAAATACGCCGACGAACCAAAGTAACCGACATCATGGGAAAAATAGCGACATTGAGATGTTAATGGGTGGCACCTGTAGCAAGACAAGACACCAACAGATGGTCTCATAAAGTGACATTCTGGAGACCTCGAGAAACAAAAAGAAGCGTGGGAAGACCCAAAAAGAGATGGATAGATGATATAAGAGCTGTAGCTGGAAAGCAGTGGATGAGAATTGCAAAAGATAGGGAAGTGTGAAAGCAATTGGAGGAGGCCTATGTCCAACAATGAATAAATGAAGGCTGAAGAAGAAGACATTTAAGCAATGTTGACTCTGATCTCCTTGTCGTATAATGACGAAAACTACTCGACGGTTATTACCGTCTTGTCCGTGAGAGGGTTAACGAATGTACTATATTATAAACAGTTATAAGAATTACATTGATTAGTCATTTTACATACATTACAACATATTTGAGACACACTAAAAAATCTGTAGTTAATCCTACCACTATATAAGTTACTAGTGGACTCAACCAGTCATAGTACGACTGGAATGCAAACTTGTTTAAAATGTAAAGGATAGACACTTGGACGTTTAAACTTCTGTTCCGGCTACAGTTACAGTCTGACATGTTAAGCGTTACTTGGAGCTCATTAGATTATGATAGATGAAGACAAACTCGAAAACAGACGAAGAGTAAATAAGCGACATCTACCATAATTTGTGCCTGTATTAAGCTACATGCAGACGTGAATATGGTTGAATTTAAAAGAATAAATATATAACTAGACACTGCAACTTTGTGACTACAAATATCTTGACATTACAAATGATTAAATTGAATTATTAATAGGACATCTTTTACAAATAAAAATGAGATATTAAAAGTGAAAACACATCCTTTAACTCTATACAACGAAACAAAAAACGAATGAAAAAAAGAACTGTACATATCTAGAGAGCTAAAATGTAGTCGATATGTAATGCAGACTTTAAGGTCTACCTAAAAGTAAGAGTATCAAAATATAGATAATCAAAACAAATTACAATAATAAACACGAAGGAAATTGACGTTTCCGTGATACTTATACTCATTTACAGTGATCACCGCTAGTTTTTCAAAAAATACAATAACGACCTTGTTGAAGCATAAAAAATTAGCAAACTTGCTTGTAGATACTTCAAAGTTGTACCATTTTTTGCACACAATTATTAAAAATGGTATTTTTCACTGGTAACCTCAACAGGTTATGGTTTAACCGTATATGAATGTATTGAATAAGTCTAAAATATTAGAATAGGCTTTACTCTTTTTAATAATCCATGCCCATAGGAGTTTTCGACTTTGGAAATAATAACTAAGCTTTACCAATCATATCTTTCATCGAACTATTCAGATAAATTCTGCTACGTGTGAAATATTTCTTTAGAAAACATGTTGATCCACAAACCTAGAATACTACTCACTTTAAAGTGAATCTGCCAATCTACAATCACTCTATAAACAAAAAAAGGTTGTACCAAATTTAGAGGACACTTTTTAAGATTTTTTTTTTGTCTTAAATACATAATTTGTAGCGGAACTAGAAGGCAAACAATACGAATTTATTTTTCAGCAGCTTTTCATCATAAAAACTAATTGTTGCTGAATTCCGAAGAAAATTCGAAAGCTTTTAGTATTTCAGAAAAATAGCGGCGTTCACTGTATATGTCATCATACAAAATATTATTTTACATAAACTTTATGTCTACCAGTCAGTGTAAACGTATCTTACAACTAAAAAACTAAACTAAATTTATTTATATTTATAATATCAATAAGTTTGTCATGTTTCTAACGTAATCCTACAGAGTAGTATCAAAAAATTACTGACCATTTTACTTTGATACAAAAAGGGCTTAGGACTTTACTTCTGCAGCGATAAAAGATGAGTGATTTATAAGATAATTTGAGTATTTGGTTGATACATATTAAATCAGTATTAAGTTACAGAGTACAAAAGAATTAAACGATCTGTTAAAATAATATCATTTGAGTAGCTTTCAATAAAATATAGAACAGCAGATTAAAATAAAAATTTATAATATCGTGGAAGATTATTTAACAGTTTTGTGATTTAGAGCTTGTGACCAATGGTCTCATCTTTACTGTATCAATATCGTACAATATATAATCTATTCATTGAACTCGGTCTCAATTGTCTATAAATTTAGGATAAATAATGAATTTTGTGCTCTTGCAAATTTTAATTTCGAGTGGATTCAGGCAACAAATATTACATGTTGACTGACAGTTTTAGGCACCACACATTACATTGGAGCACATATGAATTGGGATTAGAGTAAAATGTCACTCGGTTAATTACAAAACATAAATTGATAGGTACAGCTGCGGTCATTGAATAGTTTATACTACTATGGTTTATACTCTTACACATCTATGGTCTGTTTTTTAACCAGGAGGAGTAATTCAAATTTTCCGCGCCGCAATGCTTGTTTGCAATTGGTCCAACTAAATTATGACATATTGACACTAATGACATTTGTGAAATTTATTTATTATTATTTTCGTCTTATATATAAATCGATTTCTGACTCTTTAAGTTGTTTGTAATAACTTGGACTTGGTGATATGCGAATAGTATTTAATGTGATATTTTTCTAGATGATATTTATACCAAATATAGTTTAAAGTTTTTATAAATTTATAAATGTATGTTATTTATATCTAATTATCATAAGAAAAACGGCAACTGCCTTTTAAATTTAGTGTATACTTGTTAAGAAGCATTTCCATTTTGTTTTTATTACAATAACAGAACATTAGTAAAGTAATGTTGTGTTTTAGTTTGATTGTATTGATACAGTTGGTTTTGTTCTTCCTGATTGTAGATTATCACAAGAAAACTACAAAACTATGCAAGAATGTAACATAATAGATTGAATTTGTTGATTATCTCACAGAAATCCAGTATTTTTTAGTAAATTTTATTTGTTGATAACAAATGAGACAAACTCACTGTCAAAATTAAACAAGAATCCAGCATTAAAAAAATTGTAAGTACACACTTATTTATACAAAGTATCTGGTAAGAAAAAAAACTAGATTCAAGAAATTGATCATACCAGAATAAGAATATGGTCTACTATTAAAAGACAGATTTCTGAGAAAAACCATACTTAGATCTGTAACATATGACTCTCTCGATCAAACTATTCTCTAAATTATAATTAAATACCATAGACTCAATAGATCTATAAAACTGAATCACCCGATATTTAAATATATATATATATATATATATATATATATATATATATATATATATATATATATATATATCGACCCTCCCAACGAAAACTGTCGTAACTCATTTTTTTTCAATTTTGAGTTATTACCATAATCAGATTTCATGATACCGAAATTTATTCCAGAGAATACTATAGTAACTCAAATCGTAATATAGACAACACAATATACATTAATGCAAATGTAGTATCTCAATACTCTCTGTACTTTACCGCGAAGAAAGTAGTATTATGGAGTTACTATAGTGTTCGCTGTAAATTTGTGAGAAGAGACCGAGATCCGGCTATACGTTTCAATCGAATAAAATTATAAATTATGCTAAATGTCGTTTCACATTGGATGAAGTACTAAAAAAGAGAGCCTTGTTTAATATAATAATTTATAATAATGTCGGAGATAACTTCTTAATAATAATACACAAATACCATCAGGTAAGTTGCCGTCATTATTGAATATCTGTTTAAAATATAATGTTTTTGTTAATGTTAATAATGCTATGTTCTACATAGCATGGACAGCAAAAAAGTTAATTTCAAAGGAACAATCCAGGTATTTAGTCATTTAAACGTTTCTTTTTTTTTCATTTAAATTTCTTTATTTTTTTTTGTTTCAGACAACGAAAATGAAAGTAACGACAACAATCATACCGTTGACATTGATGCCAACATATTTCCTTCTAATTATTCCGATGATGATGTTCCCTCAGGATCAGAAGCCGAAAACGAAAATTTGAATCTATCTGATAACAAGAGAAGTAATGTGTCATTGGACAGACTATCATCAAAAAGAAAGCGAAAATTAACAGAAAAGATTAAGATAGGAAGAAAACGAGTTATAAATAAGAACAAATGGGTAGACAAAAAAGTCAAAAGAGAACTTAATAGCTGTCTGGAACATAAGAAGGTTCCTTGTAAAGATATTTGCAGATATAAATGTAATAGCATATTAAATTTTGAAACAAGACAAGTAATTTTTGGTGAATTTTGGAAACTTGGAGATCATACCAGGCAGTGCGATTTTCTTGCAAGGTACGTGACTTTTCTTTCGCGAAAATATAAATTTAATATTGGTAATACCGAGAAACAAATTTGCAAGACAATGTTCTTGAATACGCTTGAGATTTCTGAAACTTTTGTTAGCACTGCATTGAAAAAAATTAGTGAAGTTGGTACCATAGAAACAGATAAGAGAGGAAAAATAATACTAGACCGCACAAGATCCCGGATAGTGTCAAAGATAACATTGTAGAACACATAAAATTATTTCTACTTGTACCTTCCCATTATACAAGGAAAAACTTAAAACGCATGCACTTAGAAGAGGGCTTAAACATATCTCTAATGCACCGAATGTACGTGGAATATGCCAAACTCAAAAAATGGGATGCGTCGCTACAATTAGGCAATACAGGGATACTTTAATCTCATAATTCAATATTGCATTTTTCAAGCCTAAGAAAGATCAGAGTTCAGTATGCAGTGCGTATAACAATACAGATCCAGAGAAAAGAACTCATTTAATGAAAGAAAATTACACTAGCCATGTTTTAAACAAAGAATCTGTTATAAATCTGAAAGATGCTAATTAGGAATTGTCAAAAAGTGATAAATCGTTTTTAACAATATGCTTCGATTTGCAGAAAGTATTAGTAACGCAAGTCAGAGGTAAGTAACTTTTATTATAAGAGTAAGCTTGCAACTTATAATTTTACTATTTACGACTTGGCAATAATCAAAGATATTGCTACGTATGGCATGAACAAATATCAAAAAGAGGGCCGAATGAAATTGCAAGCTGTTTATGGCATTTTTTAAAAGATGCAAAACAAGATGGCATTCGGAAAGTCGTGTTATACTCCGACAATTGCGGAGGGTAAAAACGAAAACGTTTTATTTTTTCGATGTTTGCTCATGCATCAGTGACTTTGGATCTGGAAATATCACACCGTTTTCTTGAGATTGGTCATACCCTGAAAGAAAATAACAGCATGCACGCTATCATAGAAGTTGCAAAGAAACGACATTCGAATATTTATACTCCTGACCAGTGGATTATCCTCATAAAGATGGCAAAAGTTACTCCTCTACAGCACAGAGTGAAAGAAATGTCTCAAGAAGACTGTTTTAGTTTTAAACCAATGGTTCAGAAACAGAACTGGAAAAGCACTAACACTGCTGAGGTGGTAAAGATAAGCAAAATTAGCGAAAATCACTTCGAACCGAAGAATTCTTATAAAGTGTATTTTACCTACAGTTTTTCAGAAAATTAAAAAGGACTCGACATCGCAACATCAAAATTACGTAAACCCCCAAGAATATCAACTACCACGTTTATACCAAGGTCTTTTACCAATTGACAGTAAAAAATTAAATGGTCTATTAAGTTTATGTAAAGTCAATTTGATACCAGCAATGTACCATGGGATTTATAACTCCCTGCGGTCTGCTAGTGAAAATATTCTACCAGAGTGCTCTACAGATCAAGAAACTGGTTCCGAATCTGAACAATAGCAGTGTATTATACTGAGCAATTAGTCGTTAATTATTATTATAATTAGTGTCATAACGCCATTATAAACAAGTTGCTAAAAATAAAATATTTGTTAATTTTATTTGTTTTATTATTGTAGTATGTTTTTATAATTGAAATTTTTGTCACCGAAGACTGTAGTAACTCATTCAAAATCCAAAATCGAATAACCGTATGAAATTTATATTTGTTTACAATAATTCTAATTGCACAAATAATTACTGAGTGAAAAAATGAAAAACGTAGTAGTGATAATTAAAAAATTACAGAACGTCACTTTTCACAATTATTTTTAAACGCAATTATCTCGGAATAAGCGATCTTGAGTTACGACAGTTTTCGTTGGGAGGGTCGATATATATATATATATATATATATATATATATATATATATATATATATACATATACATGGGACCAAATGTGAAAAACGTCCTTTTTTATTGTAATATATATATATCTAGTAACTTTCTTGGGTGTGAATCTGTCTTTTTGGTTTACTCCTCCTGGTTAAAAAACAGAGTATAGTAGCCGATTTTTTTGATATATATATATATATATATATATATATATATATATATATATATATATATATATATATATATATATATATAGATATATTGGAAGTGAATTGAAAAAAATTATTTTATTATTCAAACATAAATTTAAAAAAGTTAGGTTAAAATTGACGTGTGAGGTTTTCCGATATTGATTACTCGATTACCGCAAGGCCGAGATAATCAACAAAAAAAGATGTATTTGGTGACTTTTCTAGTAACTTTCTTGGGTGTGAATCTGTCTTTTTGGTTTACTCCTCCTGGTTAAAAAACAGAGTATAGTAGCCGATTTTTTTGAATTTTCACCTCGTTTAAACCATAGACCACTAATACCTCATGATTTGTAGTTTAAACGCACATTTTATGTCAAAGTGACGTTACCAGTGGCGGATCCGGACAAAATAAGTTGATTAAAATTAAAAAACCAAAATAAAATAAATCCACTTTATAAAATGTAACAAAATGGAAATTATATAAAAAGTTTTTGCTGTTCTGCGAGTTTGGCAATTGGTCTGGTTTGTTGCGCGTGATTCAAAGGCATTTTGGACACGTTTAATAGCTTTTGACATCTAGCAAATCCGTACGACACTGCGATTTAACACTATTACAATCAATGACGTATACTATATAGACTCGGTGAACGCTTTAAAAAGTGTCCAAAACATGAATACCTTTGTTATTGTTTATTGTTTTGATACGAAGATGCACGAAGTTCATGATTTCTTACGAAGCATCACGAAGTTGATCTTGTGTTTGAAAACATCATGGACGTATGAAAACATTTTCTCCATTTTGTGTGACAAGCAAATTTTATTTTAAATTGTTGAGAGTTATTTACTTACTATTTTAGTAAAATGCCATACTATTTTATCAAAATAATTATTTCTCTTATAGACGGGAACAAAAAGAAATCATAAATATTTAATTTTAATTAAAAAAATAATTATTGTCATTAACATATAAATGAGCACGCCGCTGTTGTGATAAACATACCTTCAACCTTGAGCCGAGATCTTTCGGACACTTGATTCTATAGCGAGAATAGGGGACTGCGTAGTCTATATATTATACGTCATTGATTACAATGCATGATACTATGACTGAGAAGATAAGATATTGCGCATAAGTCGTGACGTCATTGGAGAGTTGCACGTTCGAGATGTCAGTTTTTTGTATGTATCAATAAATAATCTTTAATAAATAGTTTGAGATATCCTTATGTGTACGATTATTATAATTATTAAACCTCTTAACGTATTTTCGTCTAGTAATTTCATCACAGAAAGCATACAAATCCCATTTAACTTTAACAAGAATTCAAATTCTACTCTCCAATGACGGCATGCGCGAACACGACCTATTTTGTGCTACGGGAAGATCCTATCTTCTTTGTCATAGTATCATGCATAATATCATGTTACAATGTAAAAATTAAGATGTAAACTATTCAGTGATCACAGCTGTACATCTAGGTGAATTGAGATAATATATTCCACTTAATTGTTTGAAAACAATAAGCATTTTACAAGAGCAACAAATAATATAAAAGATCAAACTACAATTTGGTCACGCTACAATGGCTAAGGTGTACTACTTTTATTTTCTTTTTGGATTTTTGCAACTTGGACATGTCAAAACTGAATATAATTAATTAGGGAACTTTTTAGAATATAATCCAACAAAAGATATGGGCACATATTTTTAGTAAGTTTTATTTAACTGCACGTAGCTTTATGTAATAATCAAATTTTTGAGTATTATACCGAAAACAATACCAATAAAAATCAACAATAAATGCAATTATTTAGTAAACACAACTGCATTTAGTTTGTTGAGTACTGTTGAAATGAGTGTAATTTATATCAAAAACAGCTCGTTTGATTTTCGCTGCAGAGGTCAGTGTCCAGAGCTAATATAAGAAACATTTATAAATAATTGTGAAATGGTTTTAAATTATCCTTTGTTCGCTAGATCCTTATTACAAAAAACAGTATTGTCAAACTATAACTATTAATGAATATCATCCTCACGTGAAAAATAATCGTCTTTGTTCAATATATACAGTTAAAACTTTATTACTCACGAGTATGGAGGACAAAAACCATTGCACTAGTGAAGTGAGATTCTAGAAATTGTGAAGACTTGTTGAATATTATGGCAACATTTGTTGATATATAAGATTATTACTAGATAAAGAAAATATTGTATAGTGTCTTTTTTCGAGAACTGTAAAGTTCTCCAGTAATACTTTCAGATAAAGCTAATTGTGATGTTTTTTCGAATTGTCTTTGTGAAAAATAGTTGTTTAAAATACATCAATCGGAAAATGTGTTCAACTATAGGTTCATCAAATAACAATAACTGTCGATCGCTGTAGTAAAAAAGAAATTAGGCAAAGGCAAGTGTGTATCAATTTTAACTAAAATTGCTGTTGTGTCTGGAAGAAGCAGTTGTGTCTGCAGTGGGTTCTGGAAGAAGTAGGAGAGAAAAACCTGGGGGGAGACGCTTTGGCAGAACATGTCGGTAAAGAGAATTGTACTTGCTATAGCCCAAGATAAAAACGCATGGAGAAATTCGGGAAGTTAACTCCACATAGGGATCAAGACGAAGAGAATGATGATAATGGTGAAAACATTTTCTATCATATTTTTCTAATTGATCGAGAATCTTCTTCAGTGTGGTCGTATTATTATTTGGACAAAACCCAAACTTACCTAACATTTTCAGTACAAAATGAAGTTGAAAATTGTGTATACAAAAAACTTATGGCTTTCTAAAACAACAAAGAAGGAACCAAAAAAAATCCAAAAAGTCTTGCACAAGTAGAAGTATTTAAATTTTTACTTAACACAACAAACGAAACATATTTGTTAATGAAGGTAATTTGTGATTGGGATTTATCATGTGTTTGACATTGCTGAAGCTGGCCTTATTGAAGAACTTTTGAATTTGAAAGTAAATCAATTAGATCCCAAATAGTTCTAATTGTTCATATGGCTAGAAGACCAAAAGGCGTCGATTATTTGTAATTACTTTGTAAATTTGAAGAAAAAGTAAACGGAAATGTTATGAAATAACCAACGACATCAAAGTCAGACTTGTAAGAAGCTTGGTTTAGTCACAGGTTGCCTGTACTCTGCCAAGCTGTGGACTCTCAAGGAGAAAGAGACTCATATATGTTTAATTTGTTGTGCTGGGCATAAATGATAAGAATCCCCTGTGTAACCCAAAGAGTCAAAACTACAACAGTTAAATATCAAGAAAATACTACGAATGCAAGTAACAGAACACACAATAAAGTATTTGAGCCTATTACTTGTTTTTTATCAATGTTAACTTTATAGCATCGTTCTGTAGTAATAAGTTCTGTAGTAGTTAAGACAGTTTATTTTCTTCGTTACATTGATTCTGACTATTGAAATAAAAAAAAAGGGTATAGTATACAATATAGCTGTATATCTGATCTACTTAAGAATTTTAACGAGTAAATTTAACAAGGACACATTTGAAAGCTTTTAAAATGAAAATAAAACACATTTTCCGACACTGCATTATAAATTCATTCGAATCTTTGTCATATAAAGACCAAAAAAATCGATATCTGTTTATGTCTTTTTTATTTTGGGAAATATGTCTACCTCAATTAAAAAATAAAAATTCGAATGCTTTTTTTTGTGCTTTGTCGAGTTTTCATTGTGATACAAGTACTACTTAAGACAAATCATTATCTCAAGACATATACTGCATAATCACTACAACTACGTGGGTCATTCAGTAAGTAAAGCACGATTGCGCATCACGCGCAGGGATTGATTCACGTAAGTTTAAATTTTAGTCTAGGGCCGAACCAATAAACTCAGAAGCCTATGCAATACAGAATAAATGACGGTGGTCGACGAAGGTGTTCGACGACAATGCTCGAGCTCAAAGGTGAAGTGATATCCAAAGATGAAGATGATTGACTGTAGAGGATAACATTATAGGCATCGAAAAACTGATTCCACAATACAGTAAATACCTTGACAACCAAGGCAACTGCATTGAAAAATACCCTAAGGTACTGTGACTTTGTAAAAAAGTTTTGTACTTTTTGGACGACCTATGTAATTGTAATGTAAGGGAAATGTAATAGGTATGTAATTGAAGAAATTGTGGTCCAGAAATATAAGAGACTTGACTAGAACTGAAAGAAACGTTCTCATACATCAAGCCCACGAAATTATTTGCTATACTAGTCACCAACTTCAATAGAGATGACACAAAGGAGGAAGATTGATTTTAAATCCTTAAAGATTTTGAAAAGTGGGACCTGAAGAATTGAGGAACGTGGCCTCTATTAAAATTGCAAGAATTAACCGAAAATAGATATAGAATAAAGGAAGTATAGAACAGTCACAGAAGGCATACAGTCATATTTCCCAAAATTATATCAAATCTGTTAACTCTAGTTTTACATAAACTAAACATAAATCATAATTACCAGTATTATACTTATTTAAAGAGCTATTCTCACTAGCATCAAATCTGCTATTTCTCTTCTACTACTACAAAGGAAGTAATATAGTCTATTCTAGTTTTGTCACATATTCAATCTATATCTGAGATTCATTCAGAAACAATATGGATTACAGATAGAGCCTGAGAACGAGAGTAACAAAAAGATCCGGTGAAAAATATACCTAATCTGTTATGACAAGACCAAAGTTGTTCTCAGACTCTACGCTAAACCAACACGAAAGCTCAATAATTGGTGGTCCATGTAAGCACCGGTGGTCCACTTTTTATTACAATACGGTCCTTATACATCTGTCTAGCTCTTTCACGTACTTTGTTTCTTCGGCAGTGAAAACTTAACAAACAAAAACAACTTGAGTATTTTAATTCCAAGAGTTTGTGAAAAATAACTTTATCAGTACTTATTGAACAGTATCGTGTGCGGTATCTGTGATTAATCAACCACCAGCTTACATACATTTTTGATACCTTTCTCATATTATGAATTAAACTACTTGTACGGAAAAAGCAAAGAGATGCATTGGGGATCGCAATACATATCCTTTTAGAGTATAAGTTTACGGAAACCTTTAACTTAATCCTAATGCTTAAACGTTAGAGAGCTGGGTTAGCTTTTTTGGGCTATCACAAGGGCTTTTACGTTAGTGAGTTTTCAGCTCTTTGGCTCTTATTTTCCTTATTTATCATAAAATCATAATGTTTGTTTTGTGCTGCATTGTGCTACGTACACAAGACGAGTAACAATAGTTTTTTTTTTAATTTGAGTATTTAGGTTGGTAGGCCTTACGGAGCTGCTGATATGTTCAGTATGGCGTGAAACGGTTGTAACTGCTACGATACATCTGAAAAAAGACATATAATATTAGTAAATCAGTTTTAATTACAGTTGTTTATAAAAGGTATTTCTTTAGAGGTATAGAAATGTAAGTTGGTAACACTTTCTTAACTGTCTACCATTTTGACAGCTATCAAGTGATTTATGTTAAGTTGGGTTTGACATTTCAGCGTGAATAGACCTGAACAACGCTTTTAAGTTGTAAAAATTTCATGTCAATTTATAAAAATCATCTTTCTTTAATGTCATTTCAAAGTTCAATACCTCTAACAAAACACCCTTTAGTATGGGCATCGAGCAAAAGGACAAAAGAGGGAATCTAATCGTTATGAAAAGAAGACCAAAAAAGTGGCCTCTGATGGCGGACATATCCGGAAATGCAAAGGCGCTAAATTTAAATTTTCCGACACTTATTAACAACAGCTATAAAATATTTTTCAGACGAGAAAGTTTTAATTAAATATTAACGATAATAGTCTAAAATGTGACACAATTGGTAAAAAACTTCAATATAAATAAAATTTCATGTGAAAATTGGGACAAAAAAATCGTAACCAAACTAAATTTGATTTCTTAAACAAGGAAAGAGACTGTCTTTCCTTGTTTAAAGTGGCCTCTTAAGATGGCACTTCCTATCTAACAATATTTTTGTTCCCACTACTTTAACATTCCCTCTTTTGTCTTTTTGCTCGATGAGTATGGGATTTATAATAGTCGAGTATGTTGCTAGGCAGCATAGCCTTGCAATGAGATGCATATAGTTTCTGATATAAGATAATGAAAATTGACATTAAAGTAAAGTGTCAACAGAAACTTATTAGACATTAAAGTAAAGGGTCAGCCGTAAACAAGGTCAGAATAGCCTTGATGATTTCCAATCTCCGATCGGAGTGGCACAAAAAGAAGAAGTCAACAGAAATAAATAACTTGAGATTTTAATTCTATCTCTTCTCTTTCTCTCTTCTTAGCCTTCTATCGTCCATGTTTGGGCATAGGCCTCCCCAACTCCTTCCATCGGTCTCTATTCTGAGCAACATATTTCCAATTTGTTCTGGCTATTCTTTTAATGTCATCAACCCATCTCATCTGTGGTCTTCCTCTTGATCGTTTACTTTCGTAAGGTCTCCAATAAGGTCTCCAGGCCCGCGAAGCTCCATTTAAGTTTGGCAATTTTTGTTGTCATGTCCTCGACTTTTGTTTTTGATCTTACCCAGTCGTTCCTCTTTTTATCTGACAGTCGTATACCTAACATTGCTATTTCCATTGTTCTTTCTGTTGTGGCTAATTTATTCATGTTGCCTTGGTTAGGGTCCAGGTTTGACATCCATATGTCATGATAGGAAGGATGCATTGGTTGAACACTTTGCTCCTCAAGTCTTGGGGTATTTTGCGGTTCTTAAGTATCTAACTAAGTTTTCCAAATCCTGCCCATGCTAGTCTTGCTCTTCTAGTAATTCCCGCACTTTGGTTATCTTTGTCAAGTTTCAGGATTTAGCCTAGGTAGATATATTCCTGGACTTATTCTATCTCACTGCCATTTATAGTTATACGTCTGGGGTCATCTCTGTTTGTCATTATTTTTGGTTTTTTCATATTTATTTTTAGGCCGACGTAATGAGAGCTGCCTGCTAGTTCCCCCATCATAATTTGCAGTTCCTCGAATGTGCTCGCTATAATCACTATGTCGTCAGTGAATCTGAGGTGGTTTAACTTGTTGCCATTAACGTTAATGCCATAAGTTGACCAATTTGTAGTTTTGAAGACGTCTTCTAGGGCTAAAAGTTGAAAAGCTTTGGCGATATTACGTCTCCTTGTCTCACTCCTCTCTTAATGGGGATGGAATTTGTATTTTCGTCTAGTTGTACTATCATAGTTGCATCTTCAATTCCATCATTTAAGAGAAATTTAGGATCAAAGCAAACAACAGAGAAGAAATGTCAATAAACTTCCTGGCAGAAAAATAATACAATACTCAATGAATATCTTAAAAAACTTTTCTGAGTTCTAGATCTTGTTATAAGATACGAACAGCGATACAGACATGTTTCTAGCAACATGTTACAAGATATTACCAACAGCGGACCAAAATATACCAACCAGATAAAGGTGGGTGTACTGTTGCCATGGTTAAATCAGAATATATAATGAAACCTCCTGTAGCATTAGTTCACTAATGCTACAGAATCTATTTTTCATGTTATGCCGTCTTCTAACGAAGATTGGCGATAACTTGTTTAAACGCTTCCCTATCTTTTGCAACGTGAAATATCTGTTCAACACTGGGATTAGTCCAATCTCTGATATTCCTCAGCCAAGATTTCTTCCTTCTTCCCAACCTTTTTCTTCCTTCTACTCTTCCTTGCATGATGACGTGCAGAAGAGAGGATTCCTCTACATCCAGTAAATTAAACACTGATCCAACAGTAAGAATACAAACTAAATACAATGTTATTAACTGAATCTCAAATCCATATATGCTAATGTAGCAAAAGAACTGATGATTTACAACTTGATGTTTCCAATGTCTACCAAAAATTAAACAAATTTATGTTCCCCTTCGCCCTATCATCAGCTCAATTAACTCCACTACTTCTAACCTCTCCAAATAATTGGCTTACAACCTAACTGTCACCTTTGAAGATCAATCCAACTATAATGTGAAAGATACATTTACGTTGTCGAACACATCAGGAATGTTACAATTCCAAAACCTATGTACTTGTATCCCTAGATGCAATACCATTTTTCACGAATATTCCTTTTAACATGACTATAAAAATTTTAGAACAAAATTGGCACTTAGTAGAACCAAATACCACACAAATATTTATTTTTCCTTTGGTGGAACTTTTTAATCACAGATCTTTGGCACTACTATGGGCTCTAGCCAACATAGTTTTAGATAATCTATTCAATATAATAATTTCAAGACTACCGTGTAAATTACCATTCATATACAAATATGTGGATGATGTGATAAGTGCGATCCCCGACAACAGCATTAAAACTATACTGGACATTTGTTCCTTTTTTAGACATTAAGGTGATAAGAACTTCAGAGAATAAGATCATTTTGGATTGGTATCAGAAAACAACTGATTCTGGAAGATTTATAAATTATGTCTCTCCACACTCAAAATGATTAAATCATTACATTGTTATTGCGACGAACAATAGAATTTTGCACATTAAGAATGATACTTTCTTATAAGAGAATTTAAAAACATGATAAAACATATTCTTAAATAACGGCTATCCTAGCAAAATACTCAAGCAACTAATCTACAAGTCAGACTTTACAAAAGATATTTACAAAAAGTTATTGGTTTAACTAAGAATATAATTAAGCTACTCAGTGGAATTCCTAAAATTAAAATGACCAAATTTAACAGCATATCCAATTACAGCTTATTCTCGAAGCTAAAAGACCAGACACTGCTTCTAAATCAGAGTCACCTCATTTACCAACTTTCTTGTCTAATGTGATGGGCAGAATATAGGGCAAACATCGCACTGGTTAAAACAAAGAATAATGCAGCACAAAAGTGATTGCAATACAGAGAAAAATTCTTGTGCAATAGCACACCATTCGAAAACAACAGGTCACATATTTAATTTGTCAGATGTCAAGATCTTGGATATAGAAAACAACTAGAAAAAAGACTATTTCTCGAAATGTACCATATAAACAGAAACAAAAAAATCGATCAATTATAAGACAGACACTTGCAATTTATGCGATATGTATTGCAATATTTTAAAATTCTGAGAAACCAAAAATATCTGGTTCGATAATAAAACTCGTTGGCCTAACGACACATGACATGTGTTACAAATACTTAAATCAGTGCCGCCTTGTTCATCGTAGAATACGTGTCGCTCTGACATAATTTGCTTTATAAAATAAATCACAGCATTTCGTAAGTTATAAAATTGTGAATTTTATGTTTGTAACTCACTGTTAGTTAATTTTGTAGTATGTTTCAAAATCCTGAAAGTGTGCGGTACAAGACAAGAGGAAATCAGATGAAAGACAAAGTCCAACTAATTTTTGAAATATCGTAATAAAGCGGCCTATGCTTAATGATGTGAAGAAGTATTTCCACTACAAAATAAATTCTACTTACCCCATATCCAGTTATCGGTCCGATTCCATGTCCCAAATAAGGATCGCCGTAATCCCTGCCATATCCTGCAACTGCCGCATACCCAGCCACTGGTTGGGCGGCTGCCGCCGCTCCATATCTTGCAGCCACTGCTGTGTAGCTCGCCGCTGCCGCGTAGCTCGCCTGTTGAGCAGTCGATAGAGGTGTTTTTAGTAAGGGTGTTGCTGCGGCTGCTGCTGCGGCTGCCTAGAACAGATACAGAGCCATGCAATATGCCATGCACACCCAAAGCGCATTGTCGTTCGTCTTACTGCTAATGGTATTGTATTACACATCAAGTGGAAGACATAATGAGTGTGCTATTTTGATTTACCTGTGGTATACAGGAAAAATCGGACTGCTCAATCAAATACCAATGTTGATAATGTGACCATAAAACATAGCTCATGAGTTTTTCTTAAAATAACTGAGAGAAATAGGTTTTTGTTTCCGTAATCTAATTTAAATATGCATGTTGTCTCACTTCCTAAGCTAACTAACAAATTCAAATCTTGTTCTTAAACTATTTATAATAAATAAACTGAATAAACTACAATTATGATTAAAACTATTTTATATTTTATACATATATAAAATATCAAATAAGGTATAATTATTGTAGATCTACATGCTAAAATGGGTAATGAAGTCGTAGACAAAATTAAACAAAAATATGACAACAAAAACACATAAAATTAATAGAAACTAAGAGAAATTGACACATGAAAACAGGAATTGTGTTCATTGAATACTAACAGGAACCCTAAGAAATAGTAGAAGTAATTTTCTAGCATCAGCAAACATCGTCAGCGACTACAAACTTCAGCTAAAGATCCTGCGAATGGCTAACCCGTTAAAGAGAAAAACAGGAATTGTGTGCATTGAATGTCATCAGGAACCCCAGGAAATAGTAGATGTATGCTTTCTATTACATGGCTCGACCGGTATTGTTACCGGACTCATTATTATAAGTAGTTATGTCGTGGGAAGCGCAGAAGTACACAATAATTTTAAAGAAGGTTAATTCCTGTCCTACATGCGCTTAAAATCTTAATTGAGAAAACCAATGAATACAACCTTCCGCTGTACTTAGCATTCGTAGATTATGAAGAGGCTTTCGACAACATTGAACACTGGGCGGTTGAAGAAACTCTGGTCAATAGTAGAATAGATTCAAGATACTGACAAGTGATACATGATATTTACCAAAACGCAACCATGACCGTAATTCTGGACGACAAATTAATAACGGATAATATAAAAGTTAAACGAGGAGTCCTACAAGGCGATATTATTTCACCTAAACTGTTTACCTTGACCCTCGAGGACATCTAAGAAGAAAATACCTAAATCACCTTAGATATGCGGATGATATACTCCTGATCTCCTCGGAACGACAAGAACTGGAATTAATGCTGAATGAACTACATGAAAAATCACTTCAAAAAGGCCTAAAAATTAACTTCAACAAAACAAAAGTAATGACAAACACGGAAGACCAAGAGGCAATAAAAATAAAAACAGAAAAAATAGAACAGGTAAATGAGTATATCTATCTAGGACAAGCAATCAGAGCTAACAGAGAAAATCAAACAGCCGAAATATCGAGACGAGTAAGAATGGGATGGGCAGCGTTCGGCAAACTTTCTTACGTTCTAAAAAATCAAACAATCCCTCAATACTTACGAAGCAAGGTATATAACTCCTGCATAATACCGGTGCTCACCTACGGAGCACAGACATGGACATTTACACAGGCCAATTTGGATAGGATAAGGAAGGCACAAAGAGCGATGGAGAAACAAATGTTGGGTGTATCACTTAGAGATAGAAAACGTAACCAGTGGATCAGAACCAGAACAAAGACAGTAGACGCGATAGAACAAGCAGCAAAACTGAAATGGAAATGGGCTGGACACAATGAACGTCTCCAAGACGGACGATGGAAAAATGCCATTGGAAAGTGGCGTCCATACAATGCAAAGAGATCAAGAGGCAGACCACAGATGAGGTGCAAAGATGACATCAGGAAACAAGGAGGTCCCACATGGCAGAGAACAGCTCAAGATAGGGAAAGATGGAGAGAACTGGGTGAGACCTATATCCAACAATGGAAAGATAGAGAATAGGTTAAAAAAAAATCCTGTACCATATATGTACCAAGGAATACTTCCAATAATTGCGATCGATTCTCTTGTTAAATTCAAAAGTAAGGTTGGTTGCCTATCTAAGTTTACATCTAAATTCTCAGTCGAAAACCACTTAGCTGCACTTCCGGTTGTAACAGCTATTGTAGTTATCTCACATATCGATAACATCTATTACATTTTACATAAATTTCCATACCCCTTTATAGATCATAATTACCGATTGTACCGCCGAATAGTTTCGATGCAGATTGACAGTAGGTACGACAATACTGACACATGTCACAAATTCTGGTCCCAACCTCTCTCCAAAATAATTTTCCTTTTTAATAATTATTTCCTGTGACGTTGACAACCTAGCCAATTTATTTTAAATATACTCCTTAAGTAGCAAATTTTTTTACATTAAATAATTTTCTGTACACTAAGTTCTTTTTTTGTGAATTCTTGTGCATATCAGATTTAGACTCTCCTACATTATAGCTTATGATGACAGAAATGTCTAAACGCGTCCTATGTGTTAAAAAATATGATTATTTTTACAATTTTACAATTCGTGGTTTTACTTAAGAGTTAATACTTGAAGTAGAGGTAATTTCCAACCATTAGCAAACATCGTCAGGGGCTACAAACTTCTGCTGGTGATCCTGCGAATGGCTATCCCGTTAAAGAGAAAAAGGTCAAATAAACGTTATAACCGTCCTATCGAGAGGCCTATTGGCAGCGTGATGGATAAATTTGATGGATAAATACTTCGACGAAACGTGAGATCTGCCGTAAACATCGCTGCTGTCTGTGAGAATGTGCATGGGAATCCCTTCACAAGATTCACGATCACAACTTAACTTAAACTTAAAGACCCCTATAGAAGTCTAATCCTTATATCCCTCGGATGGTGTCAAAAAGTAAATAAACAAGATTAGTAATTCGATCGATCGAGGCATTGTCAACGTTTCACGCAGTTCATGTACAAATTTTTGGTAATTGGTTGGATTTGGTATTGTAGGATGGAGTCACGCATCAAGCAATTGTTTTATTTCTTTTTAACTGATAATTCTTTTTTAATATTAGCATTAAGTTTATACCTATATCAATAAATATAAATTTCATATATTTATAAAACAAAATAAATAAATTAAAACAAAATTTTTGTGAGTAATTTATTAAATCTGCTTCGATTAATTTAGTGAAATTATTGTATGACATTTGTAGGCAAGAGACAGAAAGGCAGAACATTACATATTATTAGGGGATTCCCTGATATAATAACGCGTGGGTTTCTATGATTATATGATCTACCCCAGTAAGTTAAAATTTCCGCAATCATACCCTTTAAATACGAAAAAGCGGATAAGAATCAATCTATAATCTATTTCTAATGAGTGTAGAGTAATAAAATCTCATGAAGTATTCAAAAGCGCTACAGGGTAATCCGTCAATAATCCGTCAATAAATTCCGTCCGCATTGCAAAATTCTGTCGTTTCATAAAGAGCAGGTAGGTATCACCCTGTTTTAAGAGATTAGTCCATTGTTATCGACAGATAAACACTGAGCCAGAGGCGCGCTAGTGGGTTAATTGACAAAAGAATATGCATTCTTAAAAATCATATTAAAGGAAATAAAAATGTAATACAGCAGAACAGTGTTATTAAAAAAATATAAAATGTAACAATAAAATATATACGAACCGAAATCGGGAAATACTCACAAACACACACGAATGAACTTTACATATTGAAACACTTGTGGGGAGTTTAAATCAATTTATTCACAAAAACTACAAAAACTTTACTGGATACGTTATTACAATTCTACATCACTATAGTCTTCATCCGAAGAACTGTCATCATCCCCTGGTGTTATAATTATAGGGTCAACCACTTGATCGACCAAGTTGTCCAGTTCCCACATTTTATCTTCCTCTTTTAAAACATGCTGGATTGCTTTTTGCCAGTTTTCTGATGTGATTTCCATAATGGCTTGATCAAACAATACCTTGACATCTTTCATTTTAAATGTGGTATTGTGCCTTGCAACATATCCTTTAACTTGTGCCCATATAAGTTCTATGGGATTTAATTCGCAATGATATGGCGGTAGGCGTAACACAGTTACTTTATACTTTTCTGCTACATCTTCTACGGCATATTTTATGAAGCGAGATTTATGTTGTTTTACTACGGCTAGTAGTTCCTTCTTTATTGAATTCGTCTCAAACTGAATACCTTTATTTGACAGCCAGTTAATAATTTCTTGCTTTCTCCAAGCTGAAGTTGGTACCTTCTCTATGCGCCTTGAATGGTAGCTTGCATTATCCATAACCACGACCGAATCAGCTGGAAGAAATTTTAACATTTCCCCGAAGTAGTCTTCGAAGACATCCGAATTCATGTCCTCATGATAATCTCCCGTCCGACACGACTCAAAGCTTAACAAACCTTCTTTTAAAAATCCTTCTTCGCTTCCAATGTGAGCAATTATAAGCCTCTTCCCTTTTCCCGAAGGCACTTTAATACCCGTCGAAAGGCCTTCTATGAAAGCTTGGCGAGCACTTGTTACATTTTTATCTTGCCACATTTTTTGGACTATATAACCTTCGTTTATCCACGTCTCATCAAGATAAAAAATTTTCTTGTGCTCTCTGCAGTACTGTTTTATAGTTCTCAAATATTTTCGTCTCCAGCAAATGATTTCATCACTTTCCAGTAATAGTGCCTTTCGATTGTGCTTTTCCCAGGAAAAATTCATACTTTTTAAAGTTTTCCATAAAAGTTTTCTGGATATCAAAGGAATATCGTTATCTTGGCTTATCTTCATTAGTATTTTGTCAAGGGTGGGTATTTCCTTTTTAAAATAAAACGAATGAACTTTTCTTCGAATGTCACGTTTGGTGTCTTCACCTAAGATTTTTATTGGTCTTCCTGATTTTCTCTTGCATGGACTTAACTGGCCTGATATCTTTCTTTCTCGCAATAATTTAAAAATCGTGGACTGTCCAATTCCAGTCATTCGGGCACATCGCTCAACACTTTCTTGCACAGACAAACTAGGGTGATCGT